ACACATTTTTTTAATCCAATCCTCTTTGATGGACAGCATGGTTGCTTCCAGGTTCTTGCTATTGTGAACAATGCTGCGATAAACATACGTGTGCAGGTGTCTTTTTTGTAGAGTGATTTGTGTTCTTCTGGATATATTCCCAGTAGGGGGATTGCGGGGTCGTATGGGAGGTAGATATTTAGAGCTTTTAGGAATCACCACAGTGCTTTCCACAGAGGTTGCACTAGTTTACACTCCCACCAACAGTGTAGAAGTGTTCCCTTTTCTCCACACCCTCTCACCCAACTCATCTTCGACAAAGCCTCCACCACCTACCACTGGGGAGAAGAGAACCTATTCAGTAAATGGTGCTGGGAAAATGGCTGACCACATACAGAAGATTGAAACAGGACCCCTACCTATCCCCATACACAAAGGTTAACTCCAAATGGATCAGAGACCTAAATGTAAAACCTCAAACCATAAGAACCTTAGAAAATGAAGGACATACCCTCATGGAAATCGGAACTGGCATCCAATTCCTGAACAAAACCCAAAACCCACAGGTCATAAGAGAGAGGATAGACAAGTAGGACCTTATTAAGCTGACAAGCTTCTGCAAAGCCAAAGAAACCATCAAGAGAGCAGGGAGACAGCCTACAGATTGGGAAAAAATATTTGACAACACCAGGTCAGACAAAGGCTTAACATCTTTGATCTACAAGGAACTCAAACGTGCTGAAAAGAAAAAAGCAAACAACCCCATTATAAAATGAGCAAAAGACATGAACAGACACTTCACAAAGGAAGACATCCGAGCAGCCAGCAGACATATGAAGAAATGTTCAACTTCACTAATCATCAGGGAGATGCAAATCAAAACCACACTGAGATACCACCTAACTCCTGTCAGAATGGCAATTATCAACAACTCAAAAAATAGCATCGCATTCTTAAAGTTAGTGCCAGGCATTGTACCAAGTGATCTCATTACATTATCTCTTCCAATATTCATTGCAGTGCTATGAGGTGACAGTGCTAACCCCATTGTACTTTTGAGGAAATTAAGGCAAAGAAGAGATAAATAATGTGTCCAAAGCGAGAGTAGAAAAATATCAGAACTGAGGCTCAAAGCTAGGTCTGACTCCACAGTTCACACTTAACTTCTATTGCAAGTCGCCTCCGATCCTAAACGCATCCTGTGTGCTAGTAAATTGTGCCCTTTACCCTGATCTATAATTTCAACCCCCTCAGGGTCACCATGGCCACATTGAGATTTGTGCTCTATTCAGGTGCCGGCCACACTCTCTGAAGGAAACATACATAGAAATATGCTTTAGGGGTGGCCTGAGAGGGGGCAAAAGATGAAGGAGCGAGGTGACAAGATTTTGAAGATTTATTCTGTGAAACCTAGCCTTTTCTTTCAACGTAATGGATGAACAAGGTCCAGCATCTTTAGCAGTGCTCCAAAACTTTAATTAGGTTTATCTCGGAAATTTGTCTCTGGGAAGCTTCTGCATGCTAACAGAGCAATGCCTGTAGCTTTCACTTCCTGACAGTTTGACTAAACTTCCAAATCACATATATGCTTCAGTATTTTTTAAATTGGGATGCTGTTTCCCCCCCTTTTTTCTTTTCTTTTTTCTTTTTTTTTTTTGAGTTGGAGTCTCACTCTGTCGCCCAGACTGGAGTGCAGTGGCCGCTCCTGGCCACCGCAGCCTCGACCTGCTGGGCTCCGGCCATCCTTCCGCCCCAGCCTTCCAAGTAGCTGGAACTACAGGCGAGTGTTACCACACCCGGTAGCTTTTGATTTATTGTAGAGATGAGGTCTCGCCTGCCCAGGCGGGTCTCGAACCTGCGGGCTGAGGCAATTCACTCATCTCAGCCTCCCAAAGGCGTGGGATGACAGGCTGAGCCACCGAGCCCGGCCACTTTTTTCTTAAGACTGCCACTTCAACTTCCAGAAATGCATGCTGAGGCCCCTGTTGCCAGGGAACTGTGGTGTCACGCAGAGGAACACAATGCTGAGGACACAAGTGAGCTCAATGGGGAAGTACATGGACCTTTGAGTACAACGCTCAATGGGGAGCTTTGTTAGAGCCTTTAATCGGCCCTCCACTTCCTTGGATCGGCCATCCAATGATTCCAACTGTCTTCTAGACAAGTTTGCAGAGCTTGACTCAAACATACCCTAGAGATTTTAAAAGCAGAGAGATGACACTGTTTGGAGACTCTTCTGCAAGTCTTGTGAAAACTTGATGAAGCAATGATTCCCTGAGAAGTCTAGACCGGATTTTTCTTTTTTTAATTTTTAATTTTAAATATGTAGGGTACAATTCAGGGTAAGGTATACAAATGTTCATTATGCAGGTACCCTTGTTGATGAGGCATACTCTTCCCCCTAGCAATTTCCCACTACTGCCAATCTCTCCCCTTCCTTCTCCTGGCAGTTTCCCACTACTGCCAGGGATTTTTCTTAATTCTGCATTCTTGGCAAGTGTCTGAGTGCTGACATAGGAGATCTTCAGAAGATGCTGATAATTATTTAATTCATCAGTGACTTTTCTCTCTTGGTGTTCTTTGAATATTGCCATACTAGAGCTATGCTTCAATGAATATTTGAAAGAAGAATAAATATTTTGCTAAAATATTATGTATACAATAAACTCATTTAGAAATGTATTTTAGAGGGAAGAAGAAGGGAGAATGCAAGGTATCGGTACTTATTAAGGATACAGATAGATCAGAGACAGTGTTAGGAGTTTTTCATATAATATCTCATTAATCCTCAGATCATCACCAAAGAATGGGTGATATCAACCCATTTTACAGATAAGAAAACAGAGGCTTACAGATATTATGTGACTTTCTACCATCTTCCAATCTGTAAATGTCTGTGCTGGAATTCAAATACTGTATAGAGTTGTCTGACTCCAAATTTTAATTCATAAAATAATTCGTTAAAATAATTTTTAGATACAGATACAAGTCACAGCCAAGTGTCCACACAACACCTTAAGTTAAGTAAACCCCACACATAAGATATCCAAGATTTGAGTCCCTAAATCTTGCTGTGCCTGAAGCCCGATCCATCCCTGGGTTTCCCAAAAATTCTCATTTTTTATCCCATGATTTTGAGAAGTTTGAAAAATCACTTGCTTAAAAAGAAACTGATTTCATTCTACTTTCCATAAGTTGATGAACATGAGAAAATCTAAATAATTACATCCTGGGTTATGGAGAGGGACAACAGAATATAAAATAGTATTTTCATATTCTAGAGCAACCAGAATGAAATACATTTAAAAATATTATAATACTCTATACTAATAATGTGATACTATAGCTAGGAAAAATGGAAAAAGAACATCACATGTGGCCAGGAGTTCGTAAGTCTCCACGTGGCCAAGGGCAGTGTTCCCCACGAGGGTTGCTTGGGGTGGAGTGACGGATGCCCAGGACTCCTGACCCAGCCCTTCCCCTTTATCTGTAGGTTTCAGTTTCAGGACCCACGCTTTCTCAGTTCTAAACCATGGATGACAGAAGCTGCCTTCTCCACTGGCGATGCTGCTAAGAGAATCAAATAAGATAAATCAGGTGCTTACAAAGTTAAAAGGGCATATGTTTTAGTCACACACTGAATTAGGAGAAAAAAATTGATACCAACTCCACATTCCTACGTTAGGCAAACATGTTTTTTATTTTTGCCTTGAGATTGCCACTGCATCTGCACGATGTAACAACTACACTGCTATTTTTGGATGTATGCACCTTCTTTTTATTGATAATTTCAACTCTGCCTGTGATGGTACCAGTTAAAAGGTCACCCTGGACTCATACACTTCGTGAAAAATTAGAATAGATTTGATGTAGATTAGTAAATAATTCTATCAGTATATAATTACTTTGGCATCTGGAGCCCTATTTCCTTAATAATAATAGCTAACATCTATTGGGTATTATCTATGTGCTGGGTTTATTATGCCATTTCAATTTCAACCAATGAAGTAGAAACTGTTATCAGTTCCATTTTACAGATGAGGAAAACTGAGGTTTAGAGAGCTCAAGTTCATTGTCTACAGTTGGACATTTGGCAAATGGCAGTGATGGGAGAACTTGCCAGGCAGCTTGAATTCTGGCACTGAACCACTCCACTGTCTGTCTCCCCACAGCATTAGTGACAGACTGGCTTGTGGCACTATGGGCAGGGGAATGACCACTGTGCCCATCATTGATGAGCCATTTGCCTCCTCATCTATATGAAAAGGCAAAGGGACCAGGGAATTTCTGTGAAACATTTATGAAGAGACATCTTATATGGTCTCCTAGAATATGAATCAGGCCAGAGAGACGGTGTTTGGTTGAAGAGACCTTTGCCTGCCTCCCGTTTCCTGACCTATGGGTGCCCCCAGTCACCAGCAATGGCTCTCAGAGGCCCTACCTCCTCACCTGGAGGCACTGCAGAGCACAACTGGACCACCATTCCCCAGGTGATACTCTAAGGAGCCTTAAAGCCCTGACACTTACCGATATAAGCTGCTCCATCTGTTACCATGTACTTGTTGCGATTTAATCTAGGAAAGGTGTGATTCTTTTGTTCTTTTGTAGCACAAGCATTCTCTCTTTCCAGATCAAAAAATTTCTGTAAGACAAAAAAAGAAAGAAAGAAAAAACCCAAGAACAGGTGAATAGAGAACATTTTTGGTCTTGTTCAAGAGCACAAAAGGAAGTATTATCCAAATATCAACAACAGTCCTCGTGTTGGGTTATTAAGACCACGATCTTGTTTCTTCATATAGATGAAGCTATTTTTGTTCTCAAATCTATCTAGGCAATGAGAGAAAATTAGCATGCTACACTAGGTCTATAATTAACACTTTTAATCTACAAAATGAACACAAAATTCATTCTTTCAATAGGGTGAGGGCCAGAAGGTTGTTTAATTCTCATTGTCTTATTCATCAGGGTGCACTGGCATTTGAAGCATGCCTCAGGGTGCTTGCTGTCATGCATGCCAATGAACTGAATGAATATTCTTACATGTTGCATACATTATGCCAATGACTAGCTGATTAAACTGGGGATTTGCAAAGGTCAAAAGAGATTTTGCCACAAGAACAAATACTTTCCATTTGAACTCCTAAATCGAAGGGCTCTTTTTTCAATAGGCAACTAAAAAAAAATTCACAACTTCAAACCATAAATTCTGAATTTCAGCGTTAATGTGACCAAAAAAACAGTTCGCCCAAGGCCAAGAATGGGAGACTGACTGCATTAGTGGCCAGGCTGTGCCTCAGTGGTCTGCTGAATTTGCTAAATTCCTAGATGAACTGTGGTTGAACTCATGGGATTCCATGACTGAGCTCAGAGGATGACACCAGTCAAAGGTGAAGGTCCCAGGTCTACCCCACATTGGAAAATATTGGACATTTTCAGAATTGCAGAAACTCTTTGCGGAATGTCTTAAAGCTGTAGAATCATATGTGCTCAAAGACAAAAGGAGGCAGAGAGGATAACAGGATAATAGAAGATGCCATATATAGTCATTCTGTCAGAACACATGTCCACAGGCTCCTGACCTTGTGGACTCTCCTGACACAGGCTCTAGGTGTCACCCTGCTTGGGACACACCTGCAGAAAATGTCTAGTCATGCCTTGGACTTGGGCAATGTTCTGGGCTCTACTCTGTCCCCTCACTGGTTTACAGAGCCTTCTTATCATTCTGCCTTTGTGAGCTCCCTTCTTTGACTCTGTTCATTCAAGTATCTACTCATTCAATGCATGTGGCATGAATACCTTGTGCCAAGCATCATGCTAGGCTCTGGGACTATGTTAGTGAACTAGACAGCTGTTCTCTTTCTCACTCGGTTTTTTTCTGGGGTCCTGTGTGCCATTTCAGTTATCTGGAAAATGCTGCCTCCGAGCCTGGAACAATTCCAAGAGTTCTCTTGTCTGTGGAAAGGTATTGAACGCAATCTGATTCTATTCTCCTGTGTTTCTCCCTGACTTCCTGGGATGGTACTGGATTCTTTGGATATCAAACTCAAAACCCAGGTTGACATCCTGACCCAAATCCTGGTTATTTTGTTTATTCAAAAATATGTCCTGGAAAGCAAGTCTGCAGTAGTAATCACAGTCATGTTTTTATTTCCAGTACTTACCCTGATTTGTGAAGTCATAGACATGTGCATGATTGCCTCACTTTATAAAAAACAGCAAAACAGACATAAGAATTTCTCCTTTCCATCAATAATACCAGAATGTTAGAAAGATTAAGATGAAAATAAGTGTAAGAAGCATTTTTTTCTGGAAATTTACAGTAAAATACAAATTGCTATGCATTTAAATTGTTAACGATTTCATGAAAATGAGTTTTAAAATATCTTCGTGGCATGAATGAGTTAAAATACTTTATCTATTTTTTTCTTCAGTGATATAATTCAGATGTGTAGCTTCTCATCTTTGGGCAGACATAGCACATGACGTTTTTGAATATAGATAGGAAAGATTACATAACATCAATGATCTGTTCTACATTCAGAAGCTGTAGAGTATAATATTTAAGAACTCAGGTTCTGGAGTTAGAAAACTTTGAGTCTTGCTCCACTACTAACTAGTGTCTTTAAGAGTATTATTTAATCTCTCTAAGTTTCAGTTATGTTTGTAAAATTGGGAAAGCGTCTACTTCTCAGGGTAGTTGTGGGGTCTTTCTATGGTCTTGACAGGTTGGTCTTGAACTCCTGTTCTCAAGCAATCCTTCTGACTCAGCTTCCCAAAGTGCTAAGATTACAGGCATGAGCCACTGTGCCTAGCCATGTAGCTATCAATATTAAATAATTTATATAAAACATTTAATTCAGTGCCTGCTTAATTGTATATGTTCATGAATATAACAAATTCCTTTACTTGTTGAAAGACATATTAAGTATTCTATATTCAGACAATGTGATGAGGGTGCCGCAATAACAGGAAAACAACAACAATTTAATAAATTATGTAGCATTGGTTTACCCGCTAGGCGGCAGGCAGCAAGTAATGGTATTGTAGGAAGAAAAGACGAAGATGCCTGTTATACACTAGCAAACTATTTTGTTAGCTATTTAGTTAGTTATTTAGCCATAACATGTACTTATTTGGTAGAGAAACCAAGTACCACTGAACCTTTAATTTACAGGACTTTAGCAATGGGGATTGGAAAACAAATTGTGTTGATTGTAATTTGTGCTTTTAAAAAGTTTATTTGAGGAGATAAATAGGCTAAGAAAAGGACTGGCTGGTTTGCAAACAGAAATTATAGAGAAATAATAGGCTGGAAAAGTTGACTGTGCCTAGAACTCAATAGTAGAAAATAAGTTTGAAAAATCCCTTAAGTGACCGTGGTTATTTAAGATCCAGTCCTGTAGCAAAGAGCAAATAATTGGTGTAATTATAAGTAGTGCAAACTTCCTACTCAAGTCTGATTATTTGAATAATCTACCATTTGAATAAGCTACCATTAAAGAGAGAGAGAGAGGTTGGGGGAGAGGTGGGCAAGAGAGCATAATTAATCAAGTCAGGAAATTATGTACAACATGAAACTTTGGATGTGGCTATGCATACAAGGAAATGACTAAAAGCAAGTACATCAGAAGCCTACTAAGTTTCTGAGAAAATTGCATTGCCCAAGAAACAATGAGTTAGGACTCCAAACTCCTTAAACTGTTCGTGCCTTAAACAGCCTTGGGCCCTTGGCTTGAACCAGCAGGAGCATGAGGACTTCACAACACCTACCCAGAATGCTTTTATAATAGCTGAGGACCGGTGATCAATGTGGGGCTCCAAAGCTTCCCTTTCCAATGGTAGTTTTTATTGTGTTTACCCGGTTTCTGTAGTGTGGGAGGGAGATAACCTTAACCTGGATTTTGGGAGTTTTTTTTTTGTGGGCGGAGGATTGTTACTGTTTTGTTGTAGTTTTTATATCACCAAACCATGAGGTGCCACTTTCAGACTTGATGTCAAGAATTGCACATCGGCCGGGCTCGGTGGCTCAGCCTGTAATCACGCACTTTGGGAGGCCGAGGTGAGTGAATTGCCTGAGTCCGTGGGTTCGAGACCCACCTGGGCAACTTGGCAAGCCCTCATCTCTACAATAAATCAAAAAAATTAGCCAGGCATGGTAGTGCGCGCCTGTAGTTCCAGCTACTTGGAAGGCTGAGGTGGAAGGATGACCGGAGCCTACCAGGTTGAGGCTGTGGTGGCTGGGAGCGGCCACTGCACTCCAGTCTGGGAGACAGAGTGAGACTCCAACTCAGAAAAAAAAAAAAGAATTGCACATCACTGGGGGATCCTAAACTTTGAGCTGTGCAGTGACTGGATGAAATTTTGCGTTTTATTTTATATGGGGGTGGGGTGAGAACGAAGGTCCTCTCTGTGGGAAGAGAGTAAAATGGATAGTGGGTGCCTAGAGTTTCCCAAACCTATGTCCTTGCCCCCTGGGAACACAGCTACCCTTCTGAACACACTCACAAGCCTTCCTTGCCATGAGGTATGGCCACATGAGAGACGTCAGGACAATGGAATGAAAGCTAAAAAGATGTTCACCAACTCTGGGCCTAACCCAAAGGCACTTCTCAATTCTCTTGTTTGCCCTGGCATACTCGAGGGTCAGGGCAATCCTGGAAGCCATATGTCAAAGTTGACTGAAGAGCCCTTGGCATCCTGGGCTCCTCAATGCTACAAGAAACACAACTCCATCACCTAGAAAAGGGCCTGCCACAGAGTAGGTCCTCAGTGCCCTTTTGTTAACCAACTGTATGGGGCGAGGGGGTACGAAAAGCTGAGACCTAAAGGATGAGTGGTCATTAGTTAGGTAAAACATGGAGAAGAGTGTTGCAGACAGAGGAAGTAACATGTTCAAAATTTTGAGGGGAGGAAGAAGACTTTAAGAACTGGAGTAGAGCCAAGTTGAGTTACAGAGTGAGCACATTTAGGGTATTACCAATTCCCCATTTTCCCTCCTTTAATATATTCAGAGATGGACTAAGGTATGGCTCAAGGGTCCTGGGGCAGGAACAGGAACGCAGGCGAGGGGAACTTAGGGTTGAGGAAGTCTGTGCTGGTGCATGCGCCAATGCTCTGGTGGTCACAGTCTTACATGTAAGAATAGTAGACTAATGAGGTAGTCCAAAAGACATGGAGAGGAAGCAACAGAAAGAGTATGTGAAGGGGGCTAGACTGAGAAGGCATCAGTAAACTTTGGTTCTGCTCTGTGTGTGTGTGTGTCATTATTTTGAAAAGTTACACAACCTACCTTCTGAAGTACCTTTCACTGTCCTCGATTATTATCCTGGTTCTTACTGGAAGTTTACATGCATGTGTATGCTTAAAGCTTTCATGGACATACAAAGGGAACTCGGATTGAATAACACAGTCAATATAATACTTACAACTTTCAAACTGCAGTTGGCTATTTCAGTGCAAATTGCTTTAAGAGATGAAATAAAATTAAATGTGAGGGGATCAGTTTCTTTCCAGAAGCTTATGAGGAGTCGAACTTTAACACTTCGCAAAACTAATGCTTCTCTTATTTTCCCATCCAAGTCTGGCCAGTAAGTCCTGCAGAAATAATAACCACATAGATACAAATAAAGAAACTAAGTTAGTTTGGGGAGAGAAATTTACTAGACAACTACTTTATTCTGTAATGTATAAATAGCTTTGTAGGATAGGTTGGAAAAAATGCAACCCTTTTTAGATTAGGCACCCAGAGATGATGCTCTAACTGGGACCGACTCCTGCCTAAAAGTAGGTCTCCTGCCACCAGCACCTCTGGCTGTGAGGTTGAGGTTGTGAAGAGACTGCCATCATGGGCTACCCTCACTACACCTCCAACTCTACCTGGGCCTCAGTTCATATGTGCACTAAAAATCAGCTTTCCAATAGAATTCCAGTTGGGGACTCTGAACATCCCTTCTATCTCCAAATGCCACTCAGACCTCTCCTCCACAAAATGAACTTCTGCCATCGTCATCTGAGCTTCCTCAAACTTGTATTTCCAGACTGTCCTTCCAGACTTGTCTCTTGACCAAGCCTTCCAAGACTCCCTGCCTCCCACATTTTCTGCTGGGCAGTTGGAATCTTCCATCAGGCAGACAGTTTCATAAAGGCTCAGTCTTTTCTCTGAATGCTTAAACTCCTTATATTGGTCCCCTGCCTCCTGCCCTTCAGGTCTCCCCTTTCTTATTCACCCTTTTATCCCATGGAGGCCACAAGTCCACGATTCTTTCAGACCATCTGGTCCATCGGCTCTTCCTGATCCCCTTTGACCTGCCCAGTCTAATTTCAGTTCTGATCACTTGAAGGACACTTTCCCCTTCCTCTTGCACTTGGCAAAATCTAGATCCTGGATCAGCGATCTAATTCCCTTTGTCTATAGCTGAACCCATGAAGCTGAGGATGACTGGGAAAAATCACTGCAGCCTTGTGTTCCAAATTAGTTCCTCTGCTTCCAGGCAGGTACTCCCATGACCACCAAAGTGATCTGTCTAAAAGCAAGTCTAGTGATGTTGCTCCTTAGATTAAAACACAGTGGAGGTTCTGCAAAGTCACCAGACTCCCCAGTGGTCAGGTCTTCCATTCCTGGTCCTCGCCCCCTCTCTTATTTGAACTCTCACACTTTACCTCGGACACTATGACCCAGCACTGAACTCCTTAGGCTATTTTTCTTCATCCAAAATGTGGCTCCTGCTGTCCCTTCTACCTAGAAACTTCCCTTTCTCTTCCTTTTCTGACTAGTTCGTGAATATTTTGTTCTTTCTTTTTCTAGGAATTTTTGCAGAGAAACTGAACATTTTCAAATGTAATTAAGATAGCATTCCCTCCAATGAGCATCCTTGAACCCTGAAATTGTGCCATAGGTGTTCTTTCACCAAGCATCTATAATATTCTGTATGTACCTCTATTGTTCTATTCACACCGCTATGTTCTAGTATCTTTTCTGTGTCCATTTGTCCCTGTTAGATGAATCTCCTGGGACTGTATGCTGCTCATACTTGAATCACGAGTACACAGTGCTCCAAAAAATTTATTGAATGAATACAAAAGTAAGAAATATTCATACCTCAACAACTGTTCAGGCTTCATTTTCATTAATCTTTCACATATTTACTGATTTCCTTCTGAAAGGTGTATTTCATATGACTGAAGCAATAAATAATGAACAACCCCAAACTGAGACCTAATTAATTAAGTGACTTAATAAAAGAAAGAGAGCTTGATTGCTAAATCAGAAAGAAGTGAAATATGGTTTCTAAGTTTTTACCACAGGATTTGTTCAGTCACACATCATCGTTTCATTCTCTTCCTCCTATTTTAAAAAGTAGGAGTTACTTCTAACACCATTGCTAAGTGATAATGTTTCTTTCTTACATGCTATTTACCACTTCTATTTTGAGAGTATGTGAATTTTTTTCTCTTTCATTTGGATGTTTGGTAATGTGCAGACTAAAAGTTATATCTGTAAGTTATCAATCTATTTAATCAACAATGAAATTTGATAGTATTTACTAGTTTGTTAAAGTTGAATCACTCCTGAAAAACCTTTATAGGTTTAAAGATGAGTAGCCTAACTTCATAAAAATAATTCATTCGTGTGATTGAGAAGAATTTAATTATAATCTGGATGTTTAGACTCCTTCTTTTTGATGACTTTTTATTTAGAAAACTAAAGGTATTTGCAGGTTTGAAATTTTATTTACTTATTTATTTTGAGTTGGAGTCTCACTCTGTCACTCAGGCTGGAGTGCAGTGGCACACGCACAGCCACTGCAGCCTCAACCTGCTGGGGTCAGGAGATCCTTCCACCTCAACCTTCCGAGTAGCTGGAACTGCAGGTGTGCACCAGCAAGCCCAGCTATTTTTTTTTTTTTTCAGTTTATTGTAGAGATGAGGTCTCACCATGTTGCCCAGGCTGGTCTCGAACTTGTGGGCTCAGGAAATCCTCTCGCCTCTGCCTCCTAAAGTGCTGGGATTGCAGGCGTGAGCCACCACACCTGGCCAGGTTTGATATTTTAAAAATACTATTTACATAATAGCTGAAATAGTAGACTAATAATCAAACTGCAAAATTTCAGGTGAGTCTCCAGTTCTTTAACATTCTTTTACTCCTCTTTAACTTTTGGATTTCTAAGTTATTTTAGATGCTCCATGCTAATTATTTGCCCCTTGACTATGAAGGGCCTCAATTTTGTTCATGGGACTTCCCAGAACAAAAGTTTTTTCAATCTTGAAAAATCATCATCCCATCCTAACATATAACTCCATGAATTTTACATTATTTTCCTTCTCAATATCAGGAAAATCAAGTAAAACCTCTATTGTGTTTCAAAATCATCCCAAAGTGAAGCTGAAGTCTACAACTAAATCTAAGATAGATAAATCACAAATGGGAGAAACATAAAAGAGAATAGAAAAGATGTGAAAGTAGCTGGGAAAAAAATTCCATGAATGTTCAAAGAATGCATGCAATTTTAAAGTAAAGATGTTTTAATAATGTGCACCTTGTAGCTAGAAAGTCTTTCTCACTGTCGCAAAGAGCAATTATTTTCTGGGAGACAGACTCTTTTGCAATCCTGTAGTCATTTGCATAAGGAAGTTGCATATTACGCATTATGTGATGTGGCAACATGAAAAATATTCAAGCAATATAGGGCACACTTCATCATTTAACTTCAGTAAGTGATTATTTTGAAATCGTAATTTTCCAAATTAAAAGGATCTTTGGTTGTACTCCCAGAAATATGCACTTTGAAAACATTTACTGTGTTAAACTAATTATTCAAGCACCTAAATCTCTGCATGCCCATCAAGGAAGCAAAAATGGGAATACTTGGGCATGGCCATACATTTATGCACGCAATGATTTTCTAAAGAGTCTGTCATAAATTCCACCCCTAGATTTATTCCAAGTATTTGCATGCTTAAACAACAATGAATTATTTAAAAAGCACTGCATTTTAAAGACGCTCTCTTTCTCACAGAGAGTGATGGATTTACTAAGAACATGTATATTTGAAGTTTTCTTTCTTCTTCTTTTTTTTTTTTTTTTTTTGAGTTGGAGTCTCACTCTGTTGCCCAGACTGGAGTACAGTGGCCACTCCCGGTCACCGCAGCCTCGACCTGCTGGGCTCCGGCGATCCTTCCGCCTCAGCCTTACGATAGCCGGAATTACAGGCATGGCTACCATGCCCAGCTGATTTTTTGATTTATGGTAGAGATGAGGTCTCGCCAAGTGGCCCAGGCGGGTCAGGCAATCCACTCACCTCAGCCTCCCAAAGTGTGGGATTACAGGCTGAGCCAGCGAGCCCGGCTTCTTTCTTCTTTACATTGAAAAGATACTATAGGAATTTAATATTTAATGAAGACTGCTGTGAATTCAAGAAAGTGATGCCTCCTCTACAGAAAATCTTGCAAAGCTACTCACTTTCAGCATGTGCTTCAGGGACATCCCTATCCATAATTCTCCAATAATAACTTTTACAACTAATTTTTTTTTGAGTAGGAGTCTCACTCTGTTGCCCTGGCTGGAGTGCAGTGGCACTTCCATGGCCACCGCAGCCTCTACCTGCTGAGCTCAGGCAATCCTTCTGCCTCAGCCTTCCAAGTAGCTGGAACTACAGGTGTGTGCCACCACGTCCTGCTGATTTTTTTAAATTGTAGAGACGCAGTCTCTCCAATTTGCCCAGGCTGGCCTTGAACCCTGGACTCAGGCAATCCTCTTGCCTCGGCCTCCTAAAGTGCTGGGATTACAGGCTTGAGCCACTGTGCCCAGCCTACAAATAAGTTTTCTTTTAGTTTATTTTTCTTTTTAAATAATTTTAAAATTGAGAGCAATCCAACCTTCTTTCTGAAGTTGCTCTCATACGTACAACGTAAACTACTAGGTTACTTCTGTAGGATGATGCTAAAATGTACCCAGTTAGGGAGAAGATGCATCATGGGTAAATTGCATGCACGCCAAACTGACTCGACTGGTGTACTCTTCCTAATGCAGCTTGATGGTATTTCTTTTATTTCTTTTTTCTTTTTTTTTTGAGTTGGAGTCTCATTCTGTCGCCCAGACTGGAGTGCAGTGGCCGTTCCCGGCCACCGCAGCCTCGACGTGCCGGGCTCCGGCGATCCTTCCACCTCGGGCGCGCGCTACCACGCCTGGATAATTTTTGATTTATTGTAGAGATGAGGTCTCACCAAGTTGCCCAGGCGGGTCTCGAACCACCACGCGGGCTCTGGCAATCCACTCACCTCGGCCTTCCAAAGCGCAGGATTACAGGCTGAGCCAGGAGCCCGGCCCTTGATGGTATCTCAATGTCCCGGCTGGCTTCTCCTGTGTCCCCAGTGCAGTGCCTGACCTCAGAGACTGGGCTCTAACTAGAGGTTGGGCATTCACTGACCTTTTGGTGCTTGTGTTGGAGATAGGCAGGTAGTCCATGACAGCGATGTATACATATTGCTTGGCGTCATCTATCACACTGTAGATGGCGTCTATGTCAAAACTTCTGTTTTTAGGGCAAAAGAGTTTAGGAGAATTCTGTGAAGACACAAAAGCCAAACTTTTAGAGTACTAATTTGTGACTTCTGGGTATTTCTTTATTTGTTTCCATGGATCTTGCCTTGTTACCAAATTTTTGCAAACCTACTTTCTGGTTCTTGATCAAATTAGACAAAGATATTTTCAGTCTTATCAAAGTTGAGTAGAGATCAAGGCATATGGAATGGGTTTCAAGTCTGTCCTGTTTCAGGAGAGAAGTCCTTTTTTGAATCTTTTGACTAATTTGTCTTAATTTATTTTTAATTAAATAATTTTTAACAGTAGAAAATTTAAAATTGACACATAATAATTGTACATATTTTGGGGTACATAGTGCTGTTTTGATTTGTATAATGATACATATAACAATTTAGTGACCAAAACAGTGTAATTAGCATATCCATCATTTCAAATATTTATAATTTCTCTGTTAGAAACATCGATATCTTCCTTCTAACTATTTGAAACTATGTAATATATTATTGTTGACTACAGTCATCCTATACTGCTATAAAACAATAGAACTTATTCCTATCTAACTCTAATTTTGTGTCCTTTACACATCTTTCTCTATTTCTCCCTTCCCCCTACCCTTCCCAATCTCTGTTCTACTTTTTACTTAGGAGAGAATTCTTGCTTTCAATATACACACCTCTGCTTTTGGGAGGAACATTCTAGCTCCACATTTATGTGAGTCTGTCATACATAACTGTTAATTTTCTCAGGTGTTATCATATAGATACATATATGTACACATAGCAAGTCATTTACCCCAAGACCCAGTTTCATTTGAAAGGTGATGTGGCTATGAAAATGTTCAAGAAACCAAATCCAAAAACCTTGGAGCTTTTTCCCCTGAATCTTTTGAGTCAGGAAGAGGAGTGTTGATTATTGAGAAAGAGCCATCAATAATTCTATAGGAAAAACTGAGTGAGTTATTAAGATGTCCAAATTCATCAGGAGAGTCAGAGAGGAAGAATATTCTGAAAGACTTAAGCAAAATGAAAAAAGAGACAAATTCTGCTTGAGGTATTTTTCTCATGTTGCTTGAGGTGGTTTTCATCTTATAAAAATATGGTGTTTTTAGATGTAGTTGCAGTAGAAAGGGAAGGATGTGCTTGGTTGTTTTTCCACCAAGCAGAACTGAAAATAGTGTAGTTCCTATCTCACTCTGACAAGCAATACATTCTGGCAAGTCTGGGAGCACAAATAATGCAAGAGGAGCTTAATACCAAAAAGCTCAATAAATGGGTTTCTGGAATGAATGATAGTACTGGGAGGTCGGAGTTCCTCCTCAACAAGTGGTGTTCTGGAACAACTTCCCATACTGCATGATAGGAATCCCCACCCCAGCTTGGAGGTTTGTGAGATGCAGCTGTTAGAATGGATGCCCACCCTGGAAGGGCATGGGGTTAAGGAAGGAACATATTGAAGGTCACATGCCCTGCAGGTGTTTCGACCCAGAAAGTTCTTTTGTCAGGTGATAGGCACAATGAGTTTTTGATCGTTTAAATTACTTTTATTTTGGAATGAGGATAAGCTTCTAAGTCTTTTTTTTTTTTTTTTTTGAGTTGGAGTCTCACTCTGTCGCCCAGACTGGAATGCAGTGGCTGCTCCCGGCCACCTCAGCCTTGACCTGCTGGGCTCTGGCGATCCTTCCGCCTCAGTCTTCCAAATAGCCGGAATTACAGGCATACGCTACCACGCCCAGCTGATTTTTGATTTATTGTAGAGATGAGGTCTCGCTGCCCAGGCGGGTCTCGAACCCGCGGGCTCAGGCAATCCACTCACCTCAGCCTCCCAAAGGTGCGGGATTACAGGCTGAGCCACCGAGCCCGGCAGCTTCTAAGTCTTAAAAACAAAACAGAACAAGACAAAACAAAAATAAAAAAACGCTAGTCCTACATCTTTCACCAGCATACAGGGCTTCCCTGTATGTCCTCCTCTCTTACTCCTGGTGGTAGAGCCTTTTTAATAACTTCCGAACTCATTGCCTCATCTTCAGACGATTTAAGAATAAACACACACCACTCTGTGGATGAACTGACTCCCAGTCTCTCGGCATCCAATCTGAACTCCTTGGGAGGGGTGTATCAAGCCTTGTGTCTCTGCTTCCCTCATCCGACAGCTACCATGCCATCTGTGCCCCAAACCGAAACAACCGCCAGTCCACAGCTATGCCTCATCCTGCTTGCCTCTGGACATTTGCTCATTCTGGCCCCTGTGGCTGACACGTTTCCTCATTTTTGCCTATTTGTATCCTATTCTGCTCTCTAAATGCCAGTTCCAATACTATCTCCTCCATGAAAATGTTTTTATATCCCCAACCAGAGTTTGCTTCTCCCATCTCTGTCCTCCTAAACTATTTCTCTTGCTTTTCCCTTTTTACCATCTTGACCATTTTTAAGTGTACCGTCTAGTAGCAATAAGTACATTCACATTGCTGTGCAACCATCACCACCATCCGTCTCCAGGATTTATTTCCATTTTATTTTTAGCACATCCAAACTTCTTATAATTAGTTGCACTTGCCTCCTTGCTTAGACTGGGATTGTATTTTATTCAATTTCCTATACCATTAAAAATTAAATGTTTAAATTATTTAATTTCCTCAGCCTGCTAGGTCCTCTTTAAAACGTGCTTTGGGTTAATGTGGAGAAGCTGAGAGTCTTAGCTCGGATGGGCTCTAAGAAGGCCAAGTCTAAAATGTATCTAGATGCTGACACTTCTGTTTCATTTAGGAACTTCCTGGATGTCATTGCATGTTCCAAAACTGAATTTTGGGTTTGGGGGGAGGGGAGCAAATTTACACAAAGAGTTGTGGATGGCCTCTTTGCATTTGCTATTATCTTACACGTTTGAATGCTGTACCAGTGTTTAGAGTAAAGAACATGGGCTTTGGTGATACAGACCAGTTTCCAGCACTTAGAACCTGAGACATCTTGGTGTGTCCTTGTATTTTTTGAGCCTCTGTTTCCTACTGGGACTAATAACAATAACACACCTTAACACTAGTTTGCCCTGAGGTTCCAGTAAGAGAACTGGCCTATTCCTGGCTGGGTTCTGTGCTCCTCTTCTGTGCTTGCTTCATTCAGTCGGCAAATACTCCTAAGTGTCTGCAATGCTCCAGGCTCTGGTCTAGGCATGGACATACATCAGTGGTCAAGGTAAGATCCCTACTTTGTGCAACTTCACTCTAGCACCTGTTGCATGGCATTGCGTTCGTTTGTCTGTGTGTTTATCCACTTGCTTGTGAGCTGCTTGATTATATCTCTCTTGTACCTTTGCCGTGCATATATTATATGCTCAATAAATATTTCTGGAATGAATGTGAAAGTGCTTCATAAACTTATAAGTGTTAGAGGCTTGTTTGTTGGCATTTCTTCAATCCAGGTAGTTCCAAACAAGTGTGCACGGAGCTTTATTACCACTATTTACCTGCCTTATTGTTCGTTCCCGTGTTCCCATTGCCAACAACACCTTGAACATGGCAGGTGCTCCACGTGTTTATTAAGGAAATGCATGATTACGCGTCTTAGTTCTCTTGAGCCTGGGGCTTGGAGATCTCACTATGTGTTCTAGAGCCCTCTCCTTTAAAAATAGTGCCTGGATAGACTAGTGGCTTTAAAATGTTTGTTCAAAATACTAATGAATAAACAATAACACAAAAGAATGATAAGGCAAAGGAAGTTTACTAGTTCCAATGCTCAGAGAAGGCTGTTAAGTTCCCCTCTTAGCACTCCTGAATTCATTTTCTGAAACTTGTACTTCTTTTTTATTTTATTTTTTTAATTTTCTCAAATAACTAAAAGTAGATCTATTTACCTTGCACTTCTTTATTCCATATAAAGTAGCAGGAGGGGGGAAAACAGAGACCCTCTTCAGTATTCCAGCTCTTTGGTAAGTTTTTGCCAAGCAAAAGCTCTTTTTTTTTTTGAGTTGGAGTCTCACTCTGTGGCCTAGGCTGGAGTGCAGTGGCATGCTCATGGCCACCACAGCCTCGACATGCTGGGCTTAGGTGATCCTTCTGCCTCAGCCTTCCAAGTAGCTGGAAATACAGTCGTGTGCTACCCTGCCCGGCTTATATTTTGAGTTACTGTAGAGACAAGATCTCGCCAAGTTGCCCAGGCTGGTCTTGAATCCCTAGGTTCAGGCAATCCTCTCACTAGCCTTGCAAAGTGCTAGAATTACAGGCTGAGCCACCATGTCTGGACCAAACAAACACTCTTGAGGCAGATTCTAGGTTCATCTTGGTTTGTCTCTTAGACTAGCAAGTGCCTTATGCATACATGTAATTTATTTTGCATACCCTTTACATAATTACTTTGTAAAGATCCTAGCAAGTCTTTAAAAATTTATTTCATAGTAGTTTCCTGGTTTTTAAAAAGCTTATACTACATTTCTAGAACATATATGTTAAAATATAATTAATCATAAAAAGAAAACCCATGAAATGGCAGAAAAAATATATGCAAATCGTGTATTTAAGCCAGGCATAGTGGACACACCTGTAGTCCAAGCTACTCAGGCGGCTGAGGCTGGAGGATTGCCTGAGCCCAGGGGTTTCAGTCCTGCCTGAGCAACATATCAAAACCCAGTCTCTTAAGCAAAAACAAACCCACACACACACACACACACAAAACCCTCACATATATCTGATTAAGGGACTTGCATAAAGAATGTATAAAGAACTCTTACAACTCAATTAAAAAATAATCTAATTTAAAAATGGACAAAGGATTTGATAGATAGGTATTTCTCCAGAGAAGATATACAGATGGCCAATAAGCATATTAAAAGGTGCAAATCAAAATAACAATAAGATTCCATTTCACACTCACTAGGAGGGCTAAAATAAGACAGAAAATAACACGTGTTGCCAAGGATGTGGAGAAACTGAAAGTTTCATATATTGCTGATGAAACTGTAACATGATATAGTCAATTTGGAAAACGGTTTGGTAGTTTCTCAAAATGTTCAACATAGAATTACCACATTACCAGTAATTCTACTCATAAGTATAAACCCCAAAGAATTAAGAACAGGCATTCAAATAAAATATTGTACATGAATGTTCATAGCAGCACTATTTACAATAGCCAAAAGTAGAAACACCCAAGTGCCCATTAACTGATAGTTGGCTAAACAAAACATGGCATGTCCACACAATGGAATATTATTTGACCATAAAAAGGAAAGAAGGAAGTACTGGTCCATTCGACAATATGGATGAGCCTTGAGAACATTATGCTAGGGAAAGAAGCCAGTCACAAATGACTGTATTTTATGATTCCATTTATGTTAAATTTCTAGAAAAAGCCAAATCCATAAAGAGAAAGTAGGTTAGCGGTTTCCAGAGACTGAGAGAAGGAGAAAATGGAAGGTGACTGCTAATAAGTATGAGGTTTTTCTTTGTGGTATAAAAGTGTTTTAAAATTAGATGGTGGAGATGGTTGCAAACCTCTGTGCCTGTACTAAACCCCACTTAATTAGTATACTTTTAAAAGGTGAATTTTATGTTATGCCAATTATATCTCAATAAAGCTGTTAAAAATGTAACTATACTGAAAGTTCTAAAGAGGAGTGTGATGAGATATTTTTCCATAGCAGCACCAGATTCATTCTTTCTCTTCCTTCCTTCCTTCTTTCCTTCCCTTCCTCCCCTCTCCCTCCCTCCCTCCCTCCTTCCCTCTCTTCTTTTTTAAACTACTGAGGTGACATTACCAAGTTCTATCCAGTGTCTTCCCTCCCTCACTAACTATACCTCAGTATACATGACTGATGGGTGAATGAACTGAACAATAAACAACAAGAAATAAAATTTGCCTAAACTTGGACCAATAAAAACAGATCTTGAACTAACTAGTCTTTATCTTGGAAAGCAAATGCATAATCTTAAGAGCACTAAAAAGCAATCTACAAGACCGAAGCTCAATCAACTATCATTCCTATCTTTCAATTTCTATGGCAAATGTAAGAAAATTAGAATTATCTGCTCCTAGTTACTAGAAATCACATAGTTAAATCTAATCAAGTGCCTACTTGTGTTTCATGAAAAAATTAGAAGTAATCTGTATTGATGTCTTAATATTTTTTGAGTTGGGTATCTCACTCTGTTGCCCAGGCAGAGGTACAATCCTAGCTCACCATGGCCTCAGACTCCTGGGCCCAAGCAATCCTCCTGCCTCAGCCTCCCAAGTAGCTGAGATTACAGGTGTGTACCACCATGAGCAGCTAATTTTTTTATTTTTAAAAATTTTGTGTAGAGATGAGGTCTTGCTATGTTACCCAGGCTGGTCATGAACTCCTGGGCTCAAGCAATCCTCCTGCCTCAGCCTCCCAAAATGCTGAAATTGCAGGCGTAAGCCAATGCACCTGGCCTGTATCACAAATTAAAATTTATATTCAGTTATTAATGATCCAAAATCTAATTTGGGGAATGGTTATTTTTGAGGTCTTCAAATATTATTTTTGTTAGTATTCAATTTAGACTTGGGAGTGTCAGCTTATAAAAATATATGATTTTAAGGTATTTTACAACAAATATATTGAATTTAAATAAATTTGTCTTGGCATTTGTTTAGCACATATTACTGAGAAAACTGTATGCATTCAAGAACTTTCTATTAATATTATTACTAATAAAACCAGTCCAACATTTATTGTTGTTTTTAGACAGCACTGAGTGAGATACTGAGAATATCAATGAAGAAGACCATATATTTTATTATGCCAATAGTGATAAAGATGATTACAAACAAATAATTGTAAAAATGTGATAAATTATATAACAGAGGTGAGATAAAGGAGCTCTGGATGAATGACACCAATTCAATAGCAGAGGTTTTCTGACAAGTTTTATACCTGTAAGGTTTTATACCTCTTCAAAATTGGTGTTCAGTCAATAGCTGTTGAATTTAAATTCAAAGATAGGTTTCATATTATTAATAAGAAATAGGAAATAAAATAGAAAATTAAAATAGAAATAGAAAGTAAAGACGTTATACAGTTTAAAAGACTACCCGAAGAACTGTTTCACAGCTCATCTTTTGGTAAACTAATAAAAAGCAACTTGTAAATTTGCCTTAGAATATAATAAAGATCTTGCATTTTAGTAGATTTTACTATAGGCCTGAGGCCATTCTCTGTGGTAGATATGTTAAGTTTAGAATCAACAAAAAGGAGTGAGAATTTAAATTATGCCACAACCACATTTACTTATCTCTAAGTTTCAAAGTGTAAATTCAAAATCCAGTGATTATCCAAAATGTGTTCATTAATTCATCTATTTTTTGCTGTTTCCAATCTGTTCTACTTGACCTGGCTGAGCAATTGTCCCAGGCGAGGCATGTCATGTCACCCTGTTACCATCTGGATTAAAGGTTCCTTGGCAAATTTTCTGTTGCTTCTCAGCTACAAATTGGGAATACTCTCTGGCCTTCTGTCCTTAAACGGTGGTCTTGAGATGAAATAAAAATGTATGCATGAAATATTTGGTTAGTAAAATGCCCTATGAAGTATGCTATTTGCTACTCCTTACTCGACCTCCAAACATACAAAAAAAAAAAACTATTTTAGCTCTATTTGATGAAAATTTTTCATAGTCTATTTTCTGCTATTCACTTTTATGTGAATTTGTTATTCAAAACAAAAACTTCAAATTCCTCTTTTCCCTCTATTGTTACATTTCTAAAATTTCAGATTGTGCTTTCATTTGAAGAGGCAAAAACGATAAAATGTACCCTTTAAATGGTCTTTGGTGACATAAAAGTTGGCATAAAAGCACTGAAATCAATCGAGAGAGAAAAATAACAATATTAAATTGGGTGTATGGTTTAGAGAAGTTGATCTGAACATCAGGATCACTTCAGAAGCTTGATTCAAATCAAAATTCCAAGATCTCTCCTAGATTCAGGGGATCAGATCTGAGTGGGGGTGGCAGAAATTGTGAACCTACATTTTAAACAGGCTCCTTAGACAATTCTTAAATACAACAAGTCCTTATGTAATGTTGTCAACTGGATCTTGGGTACCAGGACTTTAAAAAACCAATTGTACCATAGGCTAATTGATGTAAATGAGAATTAAGTTACTATGGCATATTTCTGGTCACAGAAACACCACCAAACTTCTAAACAAAGACCAAAACACTTCTAATATTAAACACAGAAATAAACATGAGCTGTGTATACATTTAAGAAAGATTAATGAAAACAAGCATGATAATTATTTACCTGCTTTTTCCAGTTCAGTGTCTCAGGTGGTCAGAGCCAATCCCCGCAGCTCAGGGTAAGGCAGGAACCTGCCCTGGACAGGACACCATCCAAATCAAGGTGCACTCACAACCTCCCCCACACCCACACTCACATTCACTCACTCTTGGGTCATGTAGACATGCCCATGAACCTCATAGGCACAGCTTTGGGATGTAAGAGGAAACTAGGCTGCCCAGGGAAAACTCACACACACATGGGGAGAACATAGAACCCCTTTTGGTACTTCTGGTCTGATGGACTCTGTGTTGGTAGATAAGCTTCAATACCTTCTGTAGAATGGTCAAACCCCATGGCCACCTTACAGGATGCCTGTGGGACTCAAATGAGGTAACTCCAGGTATCGGGCATGAGGGATGATTATTAAGATGTATTCCCGTTATTATTGGGAGTAGCATATGATTGAGCGTCAGAATGGACACATTTGAACTCTTCGAGGTATGGGATAGAACCAGTCTAATTCATTTTTGCCCAATACAAGGTCACATTCAAACATTCCAACTTCATAAAGAGCCTTTGGAGGAAGAAGGAAGGGAAGGGAAAGAGAAAGAGGGAAAAACAACTCACCGACACAAATGCTTGAGATTTAGTTTCATTCAGCTGAAGTTGCAATTTCTTTTCATTGTCATAGACTCCATAGAGTCTCTTGGACCAGGTTTGAGGTACTCTGCTCTTGAATTTTAATGAACTATATAAAGCAAATATCCTTTGTAAATCTAGGACCAGGCAGCTGCAGTTGTAGAAGATGACACCGAGTTCTTTCATCTGTGAAATTAAAATTGAAAGCATCAATTCCATGTGCTTATGATGGTGTTATTTTCAGAGAAAAAAAGAATGCATAAGAATAAAGTCGTGACTTTTTTTGGGTAATTTCTATTACACAGCAGTATGTAGATATAGTCACATTATGGTATATAGAAGTGATATGCTATAAAAATGTTTAAATATTTAAGTAGAATTTTTGCTTGCATTTTGTAGTCTGGCTCTTGCAGATAATTTTCCCATTTTCATCTACACTTTTCATATAGACTCTTCAGGTTTGTTTCCTTCAAATTAATTTTTGTATGAATCCTTAAATTATGCAGCAAGAATAAGATTGAATTTTAATTGCAGTATAACAGAAATGGTTACTATCATGGATTCTGGAGTCAGACTCTCTGGAATTAAGTTCTAGCTCCACAATTTTCTAGCGGTATATGACTTTGGACAACATGTTTAATGTCTGGCATCAGTTTCTTCTTCCATAGAATGGAGATGGTAGTATTTATTTCATATAGTTGCTCTGAGACTTAAAATGGTTACTACTCATAAGAAGCTTAGAACAGTGTCTAATATATGGTAATCACTAACAATAATGTTAGCAATTATTATTCTCATTAACATTGCACAAACCTCAGGAGTCGTAGACCAATAGAATCCTGCAAAAAAGACACCCTAGAGATGACTTTGTCTACCTCTCTCAGTGCATGAATGAAGAAAAGAAAGACCACACAAGTAAGCAAAAATACTCTTCTCAAGTTAAAGATTTAGTCAGAGGTAAATTAAAAACTTGAATGCAAGCTTTCTGACCCCTGATTAAATACTCCTAGGAACATAGCTGTACTGGCTTCATTTGAGTCCAGCGTTTCTTTTTTTAAAATTACAGGTGATTTTTAGTGGAGTTGATGAAACTATACCAAGTGAAATTTTTGCCGTGAAAGAAGAGTACACAAATGTACATGCTTTATATGACCTAAACAACCAGTGAGGGAACATGGCTTTCTAGAGACCTGGGCTTCACTGATATGAAACTCCCTTCCTATCCTTTTCTTCAGCCCCTACTCAAGACTCTACTGGGGGTTATAGGGATGCCACCTTCCATGTAAGGACTTATCTTTTCTCGCCCCCTGGGACTCTCCAGTACAATATGCCCTGGAGATCTTTTCATACAGTCCCGTTATCATTTACCAGCTTCATAGTAACCACAGAATAGATGGATACAAGTTGGACACAAGGATACTAATGGACTTTTCATTTTTTCTCCAACGTGAAAAACAAAGCAGTGAGCATCTTTGTGCCAATATCTTTGTGTATCTTTGGAAAGATTCCTAGAATTACATGGACACATACCTGACGGACAATGCAAGATTAAGAAGGTAAGAGGAAACGGAGTGTAAACCTGGTGTGTGCAAAGGCACTGAGGCTGGGATGATATAATCAGAGCCATGTGGTTGAAGTGGGCTAGACAGGGGAGAACGTGTATGTATGTGTATAGATCTCTTTTCTGATGGCAGAAGATAAAAATGGAGGGACAAAATGTCAACTCTTCAGAAGGCCTGTGCAGAGATAAGTAGTTTGTTGTTTATGCTGGAGGTCATGCGGAAGCAAGCAGTGGGGAGGGGGAATGATCAGGCTGTGAATTGGAAAGTTCCTGTTGCATGTGGTGTGGAGAAGGGGACAGCTAGGGGCAGGACACTCAGACCCTAGGCCTTGGCGGTGGCAAGAGAAGAGACTTACATGTTATGTGTTTTCTAATCTCAGAGATGTCCAAACACTGCCTAGAGTAATTGCTAATGACTGCCACTCTCATCCCAGGTTGGAGACAGGGCCCTCTCTCTGCTGTCTACAGGGTCTCAGGCATATTATGCTCTGCACCTGGTCTTCACACTTTTGTGCCTTTTCCCAGAAGGAATCAGTGTTATCACATAAACTTCTCCAAGGAAGCATTTAGCATTTCATTATTTCTCAACTTTTCCACCAGTTTAGCCTTTATTTATTTTTGTTTTGTTGTTGTTGCAGTGTGTGTTTTGTTTGTTTGTTTTTAACAAGAGTCTCACTTGTCACCCAGGCTGACATGCAGAGGTGACATGGCTCACTACAGCCTGAACCTACAGGGCTTAGGTGATCCTCCTACCTCAGCCTCCCAAGTAGCTGGAACTGTAGGTACATGCTACCACACCCAGATAGTTTTTTGATATTTTGTAGAGTGGAGATCTTACTATGTTGCTCAGGCTGGTCTCGAACTCCTGGGATCAAGCAATCATCTTGCCTCAGCTTCCCAAAATGCTGGAATTACAGGCGTGAGCCATCATGCCCAGTCTCCACTTAACCTTTAGAACTAGAATCTATGTCTGGTGATGGGAATAGGGAAGTGGGGTGGGAGTAGAGGAGCTGACATCTGATTTCCCTTGGGTTTATAGCCGCCCTACAGACTGAGGGCTTTCCTGATACTTTTTTTTTTTTGCCTTCTGGACCCATATATCTGATGTGGCATGTTTTACATTTTATCATAATTTTAAGAAGTTATATATATGTTTCCCTTAAGTGACTCTGGAGAGGGACAAGTTAGGTTAATATTTTTACTTCCAGTGGTGGGCATATACTAGTTGCTCAGAAGTTTTCTACTGAATGACTACTTGGCCTTTTAAATAAATAGATGGTGGTCAGAGATGAAAATAAACTTGCTTCTCAATCCAGGAGACCTAGCAGCAGGCCAGCCCAAGGGCCTCTGATCTTAAGCACCTGAATCTAACAAGAATCTCTCTGCTGGTACAAGGGTCCTGAAGCAGCACAGCTGGAGATGACCACAAGAAACCCATCTGGCTATGCCAGCCCCAGATATCCACCTGGAAGAGTTTCACAAGCATGACACTCAGTGGTCAGTATCAATGACAGACCTCAGATTGGCCAATGGCCCAACTGTTTGCTAGGTGTGCTTCCTGCACCTCCCAACAATGGAGTACATTCTGTATCTACCAGCAACGGGGTGCATAGCCCAACACCGGGTTGTCTTTTGAATGAGGGACTGCCTTTAAAAAGTCAATGCTATCCAAGCCCAAGTAGGGCCCCAGATAGACCACCATGAAAGTAGAAGTCAAAGTAATCATTTGACTTTTGAAACCAAAAGACAAACTCGGTGGTCATAATTCACCCTCACTATGTTCTGATCTCTTTGGTGTACTTTGGTTTTTCCACATTTGGTGATTCCAGGTCATTTGCTCACACATGGCAGACACGCATGTTTGGAAAGCTCTGACAAAACCTAGATAAGAATAGGCTCTTTCCCTATCCACCTCGTTCTCAGGAATGCATGGTCCCTAGTCCTTACATGGAGGTTTGCCATTTCTGCTTCAACTGGTGCAGATTAAAACCAACAGCAGAGGATGTGGAGCAAAGCAGCTGTCCTGTTGCCACACCTGCTGACATGCAGACTGCTATTAAATGAAGTAGTCATAAGCACTACTACAAGTGCTCCCTACCCGAAGAAAGACAACTGTTCTTCATTATGGTAAGATGTGACTATTCTGGATAACAGTTATTTTGAAAATTGACATCTAGGAGGGTGCCAGGGTGTCATCTCTGATAGCTCTCCCTGCCTAGGAGGCACAGGGACAAGAGAGAGACAAATATGATCCAGTTAGGACACAGTGAGACACTTTCTGGAACAGGCTCTGGAGATAGACTAACTCTACCATGGAAAAGCACGTCACCTCTTCACTTCCTTCATCTGAAAATGGGTATGTAGGCCAGGCACAGTGACTCACACCTGTAATCCCAGCACTTTGGGATGCCAAAGTGGAAAGATCACTTGAAGCCAGGGGTTGGAAACCAGTATGAGCAACAAAAGGAGAACCTGCTTGTAAAAGAAGAAGAAGGAGGAGGAGGAGGAGGAGGAGGAGAAGGAGTGGAAGAGGAGGAGTAGAGAGAAGAAGAGAGAAGAAGAAGAAGGAGGAGGAGGAGGAAGAGGAGGAGGAGGAGGAGGAGGAGGAGGAGGAAGAAGAAGAAGAAGAAGAAGAAGAAGAAGAAGGAGAAGAAAAGAAGAAGAAGAAAAGAAAAGAGAAGAGAAGAGAAGATAAAAGAAAAGAAAAGAATAGAAAAGAAAAGAAAAGAAAAGAAAAATTAGCCAGGTGCATACCTATAGTCTTATAGTCTTAGCTACTTGGGAGGCTGAAATTGGAGGATTGTTTGAGCCCAGGAATTTAAGACTGCAGTGAACTATGATCATGCCATTACACTCCAGCCTAGGAGACAAAGAAAGACCCTGTATCCTAAAAAAACAAAACAGAAAAAGAATACACACCATACGACTGGTATGAAGATTAAATGAAAAGGTGCAGGCAAACATTGGTTCAGTGCCTGGCTCAAACTGTGTTAGCTAATGGAAAATCTGGAAGCATCACATAAAATGCTTATTTAATGCCATCATAATTATGAGTGCTGGCTGTCCCTTCGGGTAGGATCAGATGGAGGGAAGCATACTTATGAGCATCACAGAATGAATCATCTCCAAGACTCTCTTCATGTATCATTTATCACCATCAAGATACAAGTGGCACGGTCTCTATGCATTCTGTCTAGATTTTCTCCAGCTATTTTTAATTTCCAATAACTCTTATTCTAAACAAACATTCAGTGTTTCTTTTCCCCTGATGTGGAAACTAAACTGCTGGCTTGTGAGTTTTTATTTGCAATCCCTGACATCATTCTCTTCTGTGGCCACATTACAGATTTAGTGCCTAGAGGCAGTAAAAGAAGCCAAGTCCTGCCCTCTAAAGATGTAAAGAGAATTAAACTTCCCCTGAGTATCTTCCCTCTCTACCCTGGAATGACTCAAACCCATTTCTAGCTATGTAAATTGATTCAGCCTGCTGTTGAAGGTGGAAAAAACAAACAAACAAAAACAACTGCTATAAAACGACTGACTTTTATTTTATAGATTTTTTTCATCCAGAGCCAGAAATTCAGGAGAGCTTTGCGACACATCTTAAAATGCTGGCAATAAGAAA